TCTCATGACCACACCCCATGGTTTAAAAACAAACAAAGTTGTTTAGGTTGCCATGACACAAAGGCTGTTTTGACCTTGTAAAACCTGACTCAGCTTTGCCAGTGTAAACTTTCCTCTGGCCTTAGTGTACAATATCGAGTTCAAAACCTGTGTACTTAGCATCTAACTGTAGGCCAGCAACATCGCTAAACTGGAAAGCCAGTTAAACACAAATCAACTTTGTTATTAGTTCTCATAAATTCTACTTCAAAGAAAAGTTTCAACACGCTTCACGAAAAGTATGGTCAGGTGATTCGCATGATAAGCTAAGCTGTCTTTGACACCAATGAAGCAAATTAAGTAGTTTGCACCCAGGCTAATATGCACGTACCCAGTCTAAAATATTAAAGCTAAACATTTTTTCAATGGGGGCAAAAATGTTCGGATATAATTGTGAGCGTGTAAATTGAACCCGGTTGCCGACCAACACCTAGGTGCCCGCCGAAACCCAGGCAGTCACATGACGGACTCGTTACCAGATTACTATTTGAAATGGGTTGAGAAATACCATGTATCGCCAGTTATGGTCTTTGGAAACATTTTACTAACATTCTCCACTTTTTCAAAAGAAATACTACTCCCGTGACCACGTTTTCCACGCGTACGATATATTCGGTGCTCCTTTTAATTTGTTACTTATCGTAATAGGAATGCCAATTACCGATAACAGCGGCGACTGATTCTTTTTCTGGCGTCATTGATCAAAGTCACGGTAAAGAACGTCGCCACAGACCACAAGGAAATGCGGGGTACACTTCCAAGAAGGTAATTTTAAGACAAGCTTTTGCTTGTCTGAAATGTGAGGTATCCGCGTCTGTCCACGACACAAAGGTTGTTGTTCACATTCTAAGACCTGACCCAACTTTACATGTTGTCTTTCAAGCCTCCGTCATACATAGTCGAACATATAACCTCCTGACCATCTCTAACCCTCCTCAGACTATAGTTTGGAGTGATTCGGTGATAAAGGTTTGTCTGTGGTTAGCAGTTGGTCTAAGAGTTTGGCTACTGGTCGTGTGCCAGTCGAATATTAATTTTTTCAGACTTTCTGGGAGATTGTGGACATTTGGGCGTCCTGGATTGAACTGTGAAATGGTTGTGGAAACGTTTGGTTATTAGGAGGAAGTTCTCCATGACCGTGGTGTGGTTGGCCGAGTCGAGCCTGAAACTAAGTGGACTGCTTCAAACCTAGAGCCGCCATTGGTTGGTCGGGTGGGGGCGTCCTTAACGTGCAACAGGGACTTTACATTTCACATTGTGATTGCTTGGCTTGGTGGTGCATCAAGTATATCGAAAACTGTTTTAAGACTTATGTAGACAGTAGACACATAGAAATAACAACGCCTAATAGAACTTAAGGCAGTCGATACACAGGCAATCGTGATTTCACCAGCACCATCTGCATTCTAACGTTAGATTTACTGCAATATTATTAACGCTATGCAGTAAAACATGTTTCTTGTCCGTAAACGTAAAGACCTTGACCACCCGGCAGGGTGATGCTGACCTTTGGTTCACCTTGAAAATATCTTTCGCGTTACTTTTGTTGCCGTTGATCGATTGCTTGATTGATTGCTTGGTCAAGTAAACATATGCTCGTAATCAATGACCATGAAATTATAATTGTAGAGATCTTAAGATAATGAAGAAGACATTGGATGGAAAGACCGTTCAGCTTCAAGGGGAAGATTTTCTTTTAGTATGTACATGTATAACACGAGACTGATGGCGTTGGGCCAGAGATTTCCTTGCAATTGCCGTGTCATAGCCGTGTCCTTGTTGTGAAGACTGTCCAACTAATGCTTTCTTCATACAAAACAATGTAGTCGACATCGTCTCGTTTCGTTACTTTGACCTTTTATCGTTACCGCACGGGTACAATGACAAGGCCAAACAACGAGACAAAACAGTTACTGGCTGTTGAAATGCTTGAGGACTGCTATATTTGTTTTCGCGAACTATTCAAACGACAGCATCGAACTATGAATCGAATTTGAATTGACTTTGATTACAATTTAACCCCCGAACACGTCCTGAACACATGCTGACGTATTCGCAAATGGGTGGCTGGTGTTCTACTGACTTAGTCCATGGTCAAAGCTCCCGACCAACCCCCGAATGCTTTCTGATATAGAGTGTTCGGAGGGCCAAATTCGTGAATGTGTGACAGGGACTAAATGCAAATTAAAATACCACATGAGAGGAGAAAAATTTGTTCACAACAAACTACTAATTTCACGACTGCTATACAATCGTAAAACGTTCATTGGATGAAGTTGTCACTTGATATCTACAACATGTCAGTACAGATGTTTAATTAATACTTGGTTGGTTCATAAATGTCACTATACTAGCAAAATTTGGGTGCTGTTTTTCACAAAGTTTTGTTTTTCACTTACAAAACGGGATAATTCCTGATTTGCGGTAGAATAACGGCGGTTTGCCCATGTAATGATCTTGATAAGGTCAGGTCTGACGGTTTGCATCATCTAGCGTATAGCGCCACCCTGCGGTATATCTCTGGACTTCACCGTTCACTGTTGTACAAAGCGGACACCTCCACAGCACTGAGTTCTCGCTCAAAAATTTTCAGGTTGCTGTAAGCTGCAGAGGCGTGGTGGCTGTTCTGTAAGTTGTTTGGTCTCCCCAGTGTCAGGTTGCTGTACCAAAGTTTGCCAGATCCACTGGAAAGAAGACCCCTAGTTTGTCCACTCAGACTCCCGCCAATGTAAACCTTTCCAGAAACAGCAAATGTTACATCAGCGTAAGTTACATTGCAAGGACATCCAGAACAACACAAGACCTCCCTCTAAAAAGGCTGGAGGATTCTAGTAGATTCTAGATACACATCGATCCGGATAACTAATGCAACGTCGTCATTGGGATTGTACTTAAAACGTCATGATATTGCGAATACATTGCTGTACTGAACTGTTCTAGTCTTATAGTTCGAGTCCATGTTAAATTAAATAAAAATCGAATAATGATTTTTGATAGTGAACTTGAACAGGTTAACATATACGGCACTACTGACAGCCTATTACCATTAGGAGCTCAACCAATGATAGAATGGCAATTACTGGCTCGACCAATGAGGGGGTGGCAGCTGCATGCCTGTGAAATATTTGCATTAATATTGTACAACAATCTATAGCACCACGGCCGATGATGGCTACTAAAGTTAAAGTGACCGTTCTGATAGCTCGTACCTTGAGCATAGTCTGTTTGTTCCAGGTGAACACGAAGTGAAACCAGGTACCGTCGGGGACATCATGGGTGCACTGGAACCACACACCGTCAAAATCCCGGACAGTCGTGCAGAGGGCGAACCTGTGGTAGACGACTTAGTTAGGAAGTTCCACAAACTTGACCGTCACCACCAAATATTACCCACCTACATACCTTTTTAAGGCGTTTTACTTGGGTGGCTATTGCACTACAATAATGGATCACACAAATCCAAAAGTATTGCCGCCCTAGTGGAAAAGGTACATAAAAGGTATATTAAACAAAATACTAGAACTGGTGTTGACTCTAATATGTACATCTCAAATTGATAATGACCTTAACATCGTCATTTAATTACCATCACCCCCCCCTCCCACCTGTAGGCAACAGACGGCATGGAGATCCACTCAGCCGACACGGAGAAGCCCCGGCTGGCCCGGGTCTGGCCGCCCGTGCTGATGAAGTACAGGTCCGGGTTCTGACCGTCTCCGTACGTGTTGTCTGCTCTCTTCATTCTAAGTTAGGATTCAGAGACAAACAAGCGTCTGGTAAGCATTTGACAAATATTGTGTTTCAGCCTCAATGACAAGTTGCAATGCTGTGATTACTTTCAGTTATGGAAGTATTATATGGGGTTACTGCGTTTTGGGTTTTGTTTGTTTGTTTGTCTAGAAAGAGTCGGTTGATAGCAAGTGGGTGGTAGAAGATTAACAGGCAGAA